GCATGAGATTCTAGGAATACATAGTATGACAAGAAGCGATAGAAACACGACAGCCACCGCGATTGTCGGTGAGCAACGAATGCGTTAGTAAACAAACGTATGTAGGTTATTAGAGGAGGCCCATACGCCGCCGGCCTTGTGTTGTGCTGTTATCATTTCTCGTTCTTGCAACTTTTATCTGTGCTAGCACTGTCTTTTGTTACTTCCTCGTATAAAATATGTTATACAATTCGTGGTACTACTAGTACTAATAGTTAGAAAAGAGAACGTAAGCAAATTTCGTTCTCTTTTCTAACTATTGTTACGTTTTCAATTATTTATTCATACCAGATAGTGTATTTTAGTTAATTGTAATTTAATTCTTAAAAAATACTGCATTCAACGGAAAACAATCAACGACGTCCCAGTTGAGAATAAATGGCAAAGTGTAAATGTAAGTAACCGTTCACGAGGAAGTGGTATAATCAAGGCTCGCAAATTAATTGTATTTTAATTACATTTATTAATTGCTTTGTTTTATATAATAAAAATCGTACTGAAACAGTTACTTGGGATTTAAAGTACCTATTTGTTATTAAGCGTTTTATTTTTTGCGAAACTAATTAAAATATAGCAAATGGTTTTGTTTCCATTTCTTAATTCCTATGTACTAAAAAAAATTACTGAAATCATTTTGCCGGATTTTTAATATGTCATGTAACTTGGCAAATGATTAACACTTAACAATACTTCACACATTCTTGATGTGTTCAGTACACAGTTTATAAACTAAAAAAAAACAACTCTCGTTATTTACTCATTTTTTTTATAATTCATAAACAGACGACGAAAATAAGCGCAGTATGTGTTTATGGTCATTGGACAAAGTATAACATTAATCTTTCCGTTTTCGACATTATTAAGCCTACGACTCTAGTCTATGCCAGTAAAAATCGAGACAAGCTATCGATCTACATTTATATATAGCTCGTACGATATTTCTGGTCGTCTGTAAGCCGGTCGCATTTCGTAACAGTTCCGTGTCATAACGAGTTTCCATGCACTCGACGAATCCGGAGTAGTGTTCGACAGCATATGCAGATAACCAAATAATTTCTCAATGCCGGATCTCGCCACCTTTAAAGCCGACCGTTAAAAGTTAATAACTCCCGGGCAGACTTTGGATTCCGTTTTCCGTTTCCATTCTCACATCTCCGTAAGTGGCAATCGACGCGTTTGCGACGGACGGTGTTAGATGCTTTTTTTTTAAATTCTTTGATAAAAACGAACCGTTGTTAGACTTAGACGGTGAAGTGCTTAAGTGATAGTCATAAACTTTCGGTCCATGTTTTGGACTCATATGTACCCGACAGAGTAACTAGTTCCTACCCGTTTATCATTAGAATTTTTCTAGAAGAGAAAACAGCATTTTCTTCTTAGAAAAATATGAAAACGAATTCATATTTTTCATATTCGTGCTGCAAAAAATGTGAAGAAACAATGAAAGCGACTAATGGCATAAGAAAATTTTCTCGAACGAGGCTAATGTTCAGTTATTAAAATACACACGCAAATTTAAGTGGGACACTTCAGTACCAAAACGCCACGCACCAGCGTATTCTCGTAAACCACGCGCGCGTGCTTCGCCTCGATGAGAAATACGAAATCATTTAGTGGTACTCTCATTGAGTTTCCAATCCAACATACATGTTAATATATACCGATTGCAGGACCTTCTGTCCTTCTTGCATTCCTGTTTAGAACCCGGCACTTTGCAAATTTGAAAATCTTCCACATACCACAGAGTCACTGACAGCGAGTGTCGTAATACGTGTATGTGGTTGTGTTGAATAAAATTACTTAGTTGCCGAATGACGGTTTTAAGCGGCCTTATTCGCCGCATCATAATTTTTTTGCATACGAGACTGCGCTGGCAAAAGTTACGACACCTCTGCCGCCTTCCATGTTCCATTGGCTTAACCCCGGTCGATGAAATCTCCATATAAATAAAATATGATAAAAGAACCAGTGTCGCAGGTTTTAACACGTGTAAGATAAGAATCTTCACAAATTAAAATACACGCACCAGTTGCGTAAAACTGCAATCTCTAGAGAGATGGTCGGGCCGTGATCATAATAGTAATGTTCTGCTGCATAACACCGTTATTAGATCTTGGACACAGTTCGAATCATTAATGACTTCCCGTCTTGCGAATGGACGAGAAATGTCTCCCGGCCTACGTTTGAACAATTCATTGATGTTTATTTATTATTATTGTATTGTATAAACTGTTATAAATTAACACTCCAACTCCAATGTCTGTAATCAGCTGACGTTTAAGATGGCAACACGTAACTCGTACCGCAGGTTCGAATCTATAAATGACAAGATAATTTTTTTATTAACAAAAAACAAAACCGACTTCAAATATCTCGCTCTGTATTAATTTTATAATTGATTTACAGGAGTTCCCTACGTACCTCCGGAGCCCAATATCCAATACCAATGGAATTAATATCGGACCACATGGGAAGCACCAGCTTACAAATAAAAAAAGAATCAACCCGATCGTTTCACTCAGTAGAAAGTTCTGCGGTAACAAATATAAAAAACATACTGTCGAATTGAGAACCCCCTCCGTTTTTGAGTTTTGAATTGGTTAATTAATAACTTTAATTTTATTTTGACTTGACTTATTTTGAATCAAACATACGAATACTAAAAGAAAAAAAAAATTAAAACCTAAAATGACGCGTAATGTAGTGGCTACTGAAAATGACGAAGTACCATGTGCAACAATTTGTGTATAATTGTAATTATATACCCACGCCGCGTGAGAACTGTTTGCGTAACTCTTCACTTAACATAATGGTCTATTGCGTTTGTAGGTCCAGACCGACATATGTCACAATTCAAAGGTACATTCAGCCCTCCATATCTTTGGCCACGCGTAACAGTTTCCAGAACGAAATACTAAAACGTATATTATTTATTAATGTCGAAAAAGAAACTAGCGTTTGACCCCTATTTGATGGTTTATAGTCCTCGATGTTTATGTTTTTAAAATGGCATAATACATTAAAGGCGTGTAGGGTCGTCGAATAGTTTATGAAATTACATTTAAAACATGTTCGATACTAGTTATAAGTTAAGACGACGTTTATTTTTACTTTGCTCTCTTTACTACCGACATGGCCTAGTAACTATATTAACAGTACTGGCCACCGACCTGTCACAATGAGCATAATTATAATACATTGTTACTTTCAATTTTTTTAAATATACAAGGCAGAGGTCGCGTGGTTCGTGCAATATAGCCCTCAATGCATGAGCTTTGTGACTTACCAAGGTCAGAGTGTACGTTCCGTTTTTATTTCGTTGTTTACTTTTAAATGAAATATTTATAAAGCTTCACTTATGATTAATTATCTTAAGATATATTGAGTAACTATTGTCTGGTCTTGAATTATCGAGTTAATGGTGTCAGTACCAAAGTTATTTTAATAAATTCAATGTACAATTCGAGTCTCAACGCATGTCTTTGTAATCCAACCTTGTAGATAACACAACATCGTTTCTATATTTAGAAAATGATTGCCTAATAATGTTTATATATGAGAACATATCGATATATGAACCGTATTAATAGATCAGAAAGTTTCAACTATCAGTAAAACGTAATGAAAATTGATAGTATCAAAATCAAGGTGCTCATGAAATTTATAAAAATGTTTATGTGGATTCTCATAGTATTAAACTCTTTGAAATATGCGGCATATCGTTTCGATGGCACTTTATTTTTTTATATACATACCTTACCTTCGTGCGCACAACCCAAGTTTTATCGCAATAGCTTGAGATATACAAACGTACACAAAACAAACAAGATAGCATTCATTCTTTTAATGTATATATTAATTTTAATCATATATTTATTATTCTTATTCCACAAGTTTGTAAAATAAATTAACCTGCGTTATCGTAAGCGATTCACAGTAGAGCTACCGCGCTTGGATGTTCGACTATAATTAGCTATCGCAGATGGCCTCAAGCGATTGACCCCAATCCGGCCCTATTTGCCCACTACATCGCGCCCACAGCACTCCGTATTTTTATCCTTACACGCTCGCTACGAACTCCCCCTTTTTTGCTCTCCCTCTAAATTGGGTCTTTGATGTCGTCAGTTTGACCGTGCACAGGTAACAGTCAAGTGGGCACCGCTAACGCTCTGATAATCATGACATTGCAAAACGTTTTCTTCGGCTGATGAAGTTACTAGAGATCTTATATTTAATGCGTATGAAAATATAAAAAAATAGATTTATGGTAATAACCAAGATTCACGAATATATTTGTAATTATCAATGGGACTATGAATAGTGAAGGAAAAGACGGCGATTTATAATTTTCTTCAATTACTTATTTAAAGGCTAAAAAATGAACTTTTTCCTTACTTTTGAATTAATCAAATTATAACTTCATAATGCTCCTCAATTAACATGGTTATGATAACTTACAATAATCTTTCACTAAAAATTGCTAACTAATATACACGCTGAACACAATTACTTACTACATTTTTATTTGATTGAAAATGTATATTGTCACGTGGCCTACGCTGCCCGGTCCACCTTGAAGCTCGTTGTCTACGGCGAGGCACACCTCCACAAACGTAGATAATGGTTTATATATCACCTCGAAAGTACATATATTCGCTAATTTCGAAAGATCGCGCCTCCGCGCATGTGTTACGTCACCGCTGTTATGTATACCAGAAATTCACCGAAAATGTTTGAGGCAGCCGTCTACACCACTGACCCGAATTCTGACATTTATGCGCGTAGATGAAACGCCACACATATGCAGTTCCTACTCTTTGATCGTCTGAAACACAAGGCGCCTTGTTAAGTTTGTCGCGTCAGCTCTTTTAGGGACGTATATTTGTTCTTCTTTCCCAAAACGACTAACGTGCTGATCGACAACTTGCCTTGTGCACAAAAGTGCGCAGTTGCAAAAATTAGTTTGCTCCGCGGCCGAACAAGCACCGCGTTATGTTAATCCCCTCATTGTGCGGTTGATTTGCATGAGCCAGGCGTGACCAGGCAGGGCCGCTTAGAATAGACACGGAAGGAAAGCTGGCCCCAATGTGCCACTGAAACGGAGACACGTGCTCTCACTATGGTTGTGATAACAGATAGACTCGAGCATCGCGCCTCTCATCCCATCGATACGAGATACGAGAGCTTCTCAAAGTGCAAAATGAAGTGTATTCATTTAAATTTTATTCCTTTAATGAGGCAAAATATGAGTGTAAAGAATTTCGCTCAGTGATAGAGTTTGCGGTGTAGATATCTGAAGAGTCAAGGTAATCGATATGTTCTATAATATTGGTGAGCTGAATTGCCAATAAGGCGGTCTTATAGCTCGTAGAGCCGGTAATCGATGGGGGGAAAGGCTCTCTAGTGACAGTGACAGTGTGACTGTCACCTGGCGGTTCACCTGATGTTAACTGATAACGGCCGCCCATGGATATTTGCAACGCCCATAGAGTTGCAGATGCGTTGCCACCTTTTGATAAAGTGGGCCCCGGCAACCTAACTCACCAGACGAAACGCAGAAATGTAATGCTTCTACTTGACGCTGGTTTTCTGTGAGGTCGTGGTACTAACCCGGACGGGCCCGCCCATTCATGCGACAGCGAATGCTGTGGCGTAGTCCTACACATTTAAACTAGCAGTGGTCTAGAACAGGCTAAAATTACGATGATGATGATGAATGACGATGATGAACAAGACATGTATTGTCTGTATTAACCATTTTTCACAATTTCTTCAATAATTGAAGTCCAAGTAAGGACTGTCATTTTAAAGAAACTTATTGAAGTGCAAACACTTATTATGGGACAATATAATATCGTGCCAGAGATGTTTATCTGGTGTTTGCGTGGCTGAAACTATTTGCCCAGTGCCTTGCCGATACGATGGAAAAATACTGTAATACGACGTTAATTTATTATTTGATATATCGCACACGCTGATCGATTATTTTTGATATCTACCATAGATATTGGCTCGAAATCGCTGAATGTAAACAGTTTTTGGGTTCGTGCGTTCGGCGAATGTTGGTGTTAGGTGATGTTGAAAAACAACATCGTACGTAACCTTCGTTGGCCCGAATACATATTCAGTATTATATGTAAATAGATTCGGTTCACATACGGATGTTATCCTCTTTACGTCTAATAATAACCACTATTGATCGTAAAACCGACTGGCAAGACGTGTTTTGTATCGTTCAAGAATCTCTCTAGATGCTTGGAAGAAATTACTGGTTTTAAGAACCATACTTCTACTTTAATGTATGTTTTTTATGATTCCGTAATCTTTTTTTGAATTCGTTGTTTCTTGTTAGTGTTGTAGGTTATTTACGTCAAATTTAATAAATCCTTAAGATGAAAATAAAAGAATTTTTTAGGAAAATAATTTCATAATTAATTTTAGTGTCCTTATTTTGATGTATCTTACAATCGTTTTGGCCTCAAGGTTGTTTTTGTAGTTTGTAGTAATATTTATATTATTAAAAATAATATTTAATTAATACCCGGTGCAATTAATCATTGCCTTCAACGTTCATTATAATGTTGCCAGACGGCTTGATCGACAAATGATCTTAACTTCCATTTGAAGGTCAAGTGTTAAAAGACGATTACGTACGAAAGTGACCTCCTCGATGATGTTGTACTTATTAGCCGGCAATCTTATCGTTCAATTAACGCTGAGCCGCGTCAATTGTTTTCTTTTTGCGTCAGTAGCGACGGAGAAATTGCAACTGAACTCTTCACTGGTCGTGTATTAACTCTAATAATACAATGTTGAAGCATTGCTTCTATACAAACCTTGACAAGTAGGTTAAAGGAGAAACAACACGTTCATGGTAAAAACTGATAAAACTTCCGACGCCTTCCTGATTGCATGTGTAAAACCTTATAATAATTTACTATAGAATAATCCTGTATCATTATAATTTCATATAACTGGCGGGCGAATTGTCTAAATTATCCGTCGTCCGGATTAAACACAAAAGAGTTACACCGTGCCTACATTTCTATTATTTCGAGGGCTGTCTTTTTTATCCTTCCGCAATCCACATAACCTTCCGTATACATTATCGCAATTGCTATCGCCGAAGATAAAAATCACATAACACATTTGCAATGACAAATTTTATTATTTACCTAAAACTTTTAGTTTTGTTGTTTGCAATCGCGTACAATTTCCGTGGCGCGAATCACAGCAAAAAAAAATACAATGTACACTCAAAGCGGCAGTTTAATTGTGTCACGAATATTAATAGACCGAGGCACCTTTGTTCCCCAGCTGCGTAAATATTGTACGCGAATTAATAACAAAAACATAAGCGTATTCTTATAACAGTGATGTTTGAACACATGCTTTCGTATATATATTCTTGTGTTCATTTTGTACATGCGAAAATCGGTTGTGTATTTTACTATTCGTACTTATTTTAATACAGTCGTTATATGTTTTAGGCTCCTGTACAGAAAACAATGTATTAATACGATTTCTCTATCGAGTGCGTTGTTTGTTTGCTCCTAATTAATTCAATCATTGTTTAAAATGTTGTTTATTATCGTAATGTATGTAGAGCCGTTTGATAATTTAAATAATTATCTTTGAAACTTATCGCAAACAAGTCCTCTGTTTGTTCTTACAAGTTATTACAAGAGACTTATGTGCGAGACAGGTAAAGTGAAGTGATTTAACATTGAAACACATAATCACTATTCATTTATGCCGCAGGCTATATTACATAATTTATGCCGTGCTGTATCGCTAACATAATATCTATTATTGTCATTATCATATCTCAATATTCATGTTTACCATCAATATTGAATACATATTTTTGCTTCGCTTCCAAGCAACAATTGCCCGTGCATACATACATAGACAGGTCTTCTACTAGTCCCGCAATCACATTATGCTGTTGAATCGAAATTCGGTCCGGTAGAGCGCATAACGTGAACAACCGTACATTTACATTTCAAACTTAGCGTGCGGGGCCACATTTTAGACCGGCACTCAATATGACGATGATGTCATACAAATACAAGGCTCGATACTTGCGCGGTCGTTTATTCCAAAATTAAAAGCTGTTACTTTTCTCATCCATATACACCGTTGCAAACGACGTCTATGTTTACATAAAGAACGTTGATTGTCACTCGTAAGCAATGTTGCTAGGCGGATATCTAAGTCATCTTTTGTTTATCCGTTTATCAGAGATTTCCGCGACTATCTAAATCGCGCCGTGAACAACTGTAAAATTCAAACTCAAATATGTCGAAGCATATTCAATATCGAAGCATTACACTCTTAATACTGATTGTCAAAATACTACTACCGTGACGGACAAATTTTCAACAAAAAAAAGGAACCAGAAAAAGAGGCATATATCAAATAATTAATTCCATTCATAATGTGCACATTTATTTTCATAAATGTCTTGGCGCTAAGGAGAGCGTTGGTGGTCAGCCGCGCTCAAATGTATCATCGACGCGATAGGTTTTATCATAATATACGCCCTTGGTCTCATTATATCATCGCCACCTCCGAATTTAGTGCGCGCCTGCGAAAAAAGTTCACCGCACCCGCCCGAAGAGGGCATTGCACCGGTTCCGATGGCTCCCCCACACCGGCCATCTGCGACCTCACCTTCCTACGTCCGCTTTATCATCGAGCCGCATCTTATCGTGCCCTCGTGGCATATTTCTCGCAATCGCCAACCAACAGAGATAAAAAAGTAAAATAACAGAATATACATAACCCACTGCTGGGTAAAGGCCTCTTATGTACAGAGGCTAGCAGGGCATAGTGCGCCGCCATGCGGCCCCATTGCGGATTCACATGTCTTCGAAATCTTATTTTTGTTATTATTTCGAGAATATTCAGGTTTCCTCACGATGTTTTCATTGGTACCGGCACCGGGGAACGAACTCGAGTTGATCGAGTATATTGAATTAAAGGCGAGCGCCTGGACACTGAGCTACCACATGAGATATAAGAGGCTCGATTTAATTTACGACGCTCAGATTCACAATCGCCGCGTTCCTGCTTCCTCCGCTGTGGATATTTCGCGCCAGATAGGGTTATGGTCACTGACGGCGACAGTTCGTATGGTGGCGATTGTTTTTCATCGATCGCGACGCGCGTCGGCTGCACTCGGCCCGCAACGGCGAGCGCTGGAATCGCTACGCCCGAAGGTCCCTCTCCCACGCTCGAACGATCTCTCGCTTCTTATTTTTGCAACGTTCTAATTATACCGGCGACTGCAGAATTTAGCCCCGAACCGTATGACCGTTTCTGTTTTTGTAAAGTCTAGATTTTTTAGCTCGGCGCGCGTTTATTTCCATCGCGTGAGTAATGAGCAATGTTTTAAATTGCAGATATTTCAATGCTTTAATAATGCTATCATAGTCGTGACATAATTTATGTTGTTTCTTTTTATGTTTAATTACTATCCGCATTCCCGTTTATGATTATCGACATCAGATTGTTTTATCTTTATAAATTGCTATTTCAGTCCTTCAAACTCTCTGGCAGTCCTCAAGCGTTTTTTATCATATATTTTATGTTATCATCCTGTTGCGTGTTCTGATTAACTATATTACGCAATATATCGCCTCTTTTTTTATTCCCATCCAACGCTGCCTTTGTTAAGAGTAAAAATAGAATTTAATGAAGCTTAATTGCCCTTTGCACATCGTCTCGGCAAGCACTCCAAACAATGTCATCAGATGTATATTTTTATAATACATCAATTTACATAGAGCCAAGAGTCTGTATGGAATTTTTCACATGTTAAATTTGTATTTTCACCCACTAAATTTGCCTAATCCCAGAGTTATATTTTATTTTAAAGCACATTATATCAATTTCTATATTCATAATAAGCATGCCGTTTACAGTCTCAGTTAATTATTTCACGTATCTGATTTCCTTTTTAAGATTGTCGCTATGTTTATTTTATTCATATATAAATTATTTCTCTTCACTTTTGTGATTCTCCTTTGTAGCACACACGCTATGTATGCGGAACGCCATTAAAGGCAATTAAAGTAATAGCTCGTAGAGGCTGCTAGCTTACATTCTTTACGCAAACGCCGAAGTAGAGTATGAAGAAAACAAGAGCTTTGTTTTCGTCCTGACACCGCGTGCCGGAATAGAGTTCAGGGTGCACGGGCGGCCCGCGTGGCGCTGCGGTGACGTTTATGCGCGACGCCATTTTAAATAGGGCGAGCGCGCGAACAGACCACCAGTCGCCCGTTGGGACGCGCAAGAGCAACTCGCACGCGATCAGCGAACCGCGCTACTTTGTCGGTCACTTGTCAACCAGTCAGTCTCAGTCGGCACTCAGTCGCGTTCGGTCCACCGTTCGACGCGCACGCGTTCACACGAAGCTCCAGTGCGAAACTAGAACCGCCGGAAAATGATCGACGTCGTCCAGTCCAAGGATGGATGCCTGTACGAGATCAAAAGGAAGGGAGCGCGGGACACCTGTTACGTGGTCGTGCCTAATCCAGAAGTAGGTGGTGCACGCTGTTTTGTTTTTAGTTGCACGCGCACGGTCAACGGGCGTCGCCGGTCATTTACAACGACGCCAATCGTCGCAGTTTGTTTTCGTTGAGTTTTTATTTTGCGATTTCTGACTCCTCTTTGCGAATTACACGCCGTGGTATTATTACATCGGTTTTTTTTTTTCTTTTGCCGCGTTCGTCGGCGATGTGTTTCGAAACCGGTTTTCGGCGAACATTTCGTTTCGGAGGCTTTTAAGTTATGGGTAACGAATATGAACCGAATTGTGCGATAATAATAGCGTCCATAAATAACTTCCCTTTATTTTAAATGAAAAAGCATCATATTCATTTATACCTAGTGGATATACTAGTGTATAGGATATGGGGTCAAAACTAGATGTCTTGTTTCTTTCTATTTAAAATCGCTCGAACATTGGCTCATGTGCTTCATCAATCATTGTTCCAGGATCTGGTTAAGAGCCACTTGATGTTCGCGGTGCGCGAGGAGGTTGAGGTGCTCAAGGAGCGCATCGCCGAACTGATGGAGAGGATCAACCAGCTCGAGGTTGAGAACACATACCTGAGGGCGCACGCCAGCCAGGACACGCTCGCCCAGCTGCCCGCCGCCGGCGTGAAGCCGCCGCCGCAGCCGCAGGGCCCCCAGCCGCCCGTCTCGTAGGCGCCGTCGGCCGCGCCTCGCCCGACCCGAGGCCTCTACGACGGCCTTGCTACGCCGTAGCGTGGCCAGCGTTGGCCCCCCAGCGCGACCCCGCCGCTGCGGTGCCCGAGCGAGCCGCGCCGCGCCGCGCCGCGCGCTCCTCCGGGCTGGGACACTGAAAATCAAAAAAAAAATGTATCGCAACGTAACGTACCGTAACTTTGTTGTTTAATCTCTAGGGTGCAGAACTCGTGCTAACGCTTTCGCCACGCAACGCTTCGGCGACGAGCCTGTGTTTTTTTTTTAATTATTATCGTCTTAGTGTTTCGACGTCGACATCTAATGTGTATTTTTTCTGTTCGGTTTAAAGTTTGTAGACATCGCTACGCTAACCACGTAATTGTATTCCATTTTAAGATTACCGTAAGGACGTGTGTTTTATATGATAATGTGTATTGAAATAGTCGATTATTCCTACGCATTGAACAATGACTGTTAATTTATTTACTATACACTTTTTTTTTGTAATAATAATTTTAAGTTATTTATCATGTTTTACCGTGCTAACAAAATAAATTCGCAAGCGTTTGTTCCTCATCAGCCCGAGTATAATGATCTGTCGATAGTAGTCTAATTGTGATGTGTGGAGTTTCGTTTAGTTTGTAATTTCTATTATAATAATGTTTAAACGTTTGGTGGTATGTGACCCAACTTCGATGTTCGTAGTTTATACGCTAAATGAACGTTTAGACCTTAGACGTCGCGGGGGAGTGGCCTCTAGCGATTGCTGGCTTTAGTGCGCGCTGAAACTGATTAAAAAAAAACTATTTTTATTCCAGCCCTATGTATCGATAATAGAAGAGGTTATAGCGATTTAGACATTGTATTTTTTTAAAATAAAAGGAATGATGAATAAATTGTTTGTATATAGTACAAGTTGAAATAGAATTGTGAGATGGCGGTATGTAAATATGATGAGAGGATGTTATGATGATGATGACCGACGGTTCCCTGAACTTGTGTCTTTCTCACTAAGTGGGACTCGCTGTTGGCATACGGAGGGGGGATATATCGTGTCTAATGGAACTCTTCTAAGTATATTCGATGTAGTTTTAAACACGCCTCACTGTTCAGTTTAAAGAGGGCAGAGTGGGCCCGGGGCCCCGAGTGTATAGAGCCGGAGATTATGAGACGCGGAGAGCGGAGTGCGAAAACTAGTGCGACACCTTGTGCGATCGGATTTGGTGTTTTGTGCAACGACGCGCCGCCGTGCGTACGTCGGGTGTACAAACCTACGTCTCGTCATTTACTCGTAATTATTGTGAATATACAGTAAACTACTCCTAAACAACATTATTACCCTAGTTACTAGATATTGTATGTATAATTATATATGATTCTGAAAATTGTAAATATACTTGTAAAACAGAGAATGTCCATGTAGCTTATGTTGACCAAAAAGGTTCCTCATATCCAATAAATGCGAAACTATTGAAATTGTCTTGATTTCTTTTTCATTGAACCCCCTATCCATCGATCCTATATCCCGTATGTGATTCCTGAAAACAATGCTAAAAGAAGAGACCAAGAGCTACAAAAACACAAACAAAAGATTTAGAGGCTGCTCTCAGCCGATGATGAAATTTATCATTTAAACACAAATCTGGGCATTATAGCACTCATGCCATTGTATTATTGCTGTCTTTCGAAATAATGTGATATTATTCCGACGGATTACTGTAAGAAAGCAAATTAATTTTGAAACGACCTAAGACCAAAAATTTTACAATAAAGAAGGATACTAAGAAAAGGTTTATAACTTCATACTATTCGTTGCGAAATGTTGTACAAAGTTTTTTGTTGGTATCCTGTTGAGACTAAATAATAACACTTAAGGGTAGTGAGTTTTGTCAGAGTCATAAAAAGCTACCAAAATCGCTGCGCTTGCAAAACGTCTTGCATCCCTGCAATCAAATCCCAACCGTACCAAAATCTAGGCTTGATATCCCTTCATAATAAACTGATAGTACGTTACAACATAAGTTACGTACACAGCTACAGCTTTTACAGACTTACTGATTGTTCATATTTGCAAAAGAAATAACTTGAAAATACGACAAAATCGTGCAAAAGGATGGATAGGCTTTGCGACAAAGCGTTTAGCTACCAGGACTTTCTGTAACTTAAAATTTATCAATAATTTCAAACCTATTCCGATCCTCACATAAGACAAAATAAGTAGTAAATAATTATTCCGGAAATGAGTTTATTCATGACTACAATGTCTACGTAAAACAACAATACTCTGTAGACAAAACACAGAATTATCTTAATGTGCAGCTAACTACGGCTGATGTTTTCGCAATAAATTGCTTCGTAAACATGAACTTAAGTTGAAGAAGGCAAAAGTAATGGGTATTAAAACTATAAAATGTAATTAATTTTAAGACTTAAAATAACTTCTCGTAAGCTGCTAAAGCTCTAAATCAAATCGTTAACCCAGAACTTTACTTAGTCAAATACAGCGCCATCTGTTGTAAATTCTTTGACTTACGTTCAATTTTACATTAATCTCGATAAACTTACTAGAGTAGAACTAACTCAATAGATGTCACTGATATTTATAACATCTATGTATTGTTCTAATATATAATGAATTTAGAAAGTATCTATTCAGGTAGTACCTATATATTTTTTTAAGTCAAAATTAAACTAATAACGTAACTAAGGTTATTATAATCTAAAAACAAATGCACTACATAACACCGCTTCTGATTCTTTTAATTTTTTAAAAATATCTGCTACTTACCGCAAGATGACTCTAGATGCTTATGAAATAAAAAAATATTTCCTTATATTTGGATTTTGGAACAATAAAAGTAATACATTGGGTATAATTTATTTTCATGCCAGAAAAACTTTGTTGCAAAAAAGAAGCTTAAAACGGAACATAACCAATATGATTGTCTGGAACATAATACTAATAAGTATTATAAAATATTTGATTTTTTTTTTAATTTTAAGGAAATTAAAATAAGTTCAAATTATAATAAACCATTTAAAAAAAGGCTTAGAAAAGTTTTAACTACCTACCGGAATGACAAGAAAAATCATTTATTTAAAAGTAATTTCCTATATACTATTGTTTGCAAATTCACGAAAAGCTGCCAAAACCGAAAATAAGAAATAGATTCAGGAGATGTAAAAGATTATATTGTGTAGCCATTTTTTATTTTTTATTATCTGCATAGACAGTAGTCATTTAGTTTTTAAAGCCACGTCGTAAGTTAAGAAGAGCTTTACGATACGACTCGTTACGTTCTACGATACTCATAGTGAAGTTCAAATAATATACAAATCAAGGTAGAATACATAAATACTACTTGGATATTGTTTTGGTTACAATATTAAACCCAGAGCCTCGGTTGAAAAGTCGAAGCGAGTATTATTGGTTATATAGCAATTATAAGGAATAATAATCGCTTAGATGTAGAGGAGAGCGTCAGATTTAAGGCCAATTCAAGCAGCACCAGAATCTCAATTTCAGTGTATAATCAATTTGATGTAGACATGGAAAATGAATATCCATCAGCACAAATAGAGCGAAAGGTTAAACCTTTGTTAAACCAGCTCTGGCTGTGTCCGTAATGAACTTAAACAATATCTGCACCAAACAATAGAAGAAAGAAAATCAGAACCAATAGAGTTCTGGGTGATTGTCCCATTTTATGCCGGTTCCCTCTGAAATTGCCTTAAAGTATTTAATCTGCCAAGCTTCTTCGGTATCGTCTGAAAGACTTTCTCCGACTGTGAAATAGGTTGTACCAGATAGCAGAAGCAGGAGAGAAGCAGAGCAGGATTGAAGAGTATATCAAAGAAAGAATGCTTCCGATATGTATACCTGATGAGTATTGTACTAAGAAACTTGAACCAAATATTTTAATTATTGCACTTATAATACTTAACTGACAAAAATACCAAAATCTGTTAAATTTTGCACATTCGAATACTTGGTCAATTTTTTTTTACAATCACGCATCGAAATATCGATACTTTTACACCGCTTTTATAGACGTTGTTTAAAAATGTCGATACGTTAAATATTTTAAGCTTTACAAACATTTTGAAGCGCACAAACACCCATATGCGAAACGACTCTCTGTGGGTCACACAAATCTTGGCAACTGCACCACACAGTTATAAATACTAAGTTAGTCTTAGTTAAATATTTCAAAAAATTTTGTTGAATAAGATAAAATATTGTCTATATTTTCTATTAATCTTTCAAAATTCGTTCGAGACTAACAAACTATCACAAATTGCCACTACAAAAACACTGTACATATTCACTGTATGTCTAAATAATGTCAATGTCAAAACCAAAACAGTTTTGACGTCAGCGGTTATATAAAGTTTTGTGCCAATTTGTTTACTTATATTATTGTTAACTATTTTCTTCTTTAACATGGATAACATGACTTTGAAAGAAATCCAAAGCAAACTTTTGCTATGGGAAACATCTGATAATCCACTAGCACCTTTAACGTCAAGTCAAAGAGAAGCAATTCTTGATTTGGAATCACTGATTCTTGGTATAAATAATGAAACAGTTGAGGTAGGATTAATATACTCAAGAGCTGACTTTTCGTTTGGCTCCAAGCCAAACGAAAAGTCAGCTCTTACATATACATGTAGTTCAGCCATAAGATTATGTAAAATAAAATTTTGTAATTTCAATATAAACTTTGTAGGACATCAAAGAATTTTCTCCTAAACAAGAGGAACAAACATGTACAGCAATACCGACAGTTGACAAAACAATTGACTTTTTAGATTGGTATGATCACTTATACGAAAATAGCGTAAAAGCTGCTGATGCTCCATATGAGGAGTATTACAAACAATTGGAAGAGAGGAGAGATGAATGTATATCTTTAACCAATCAGGTAAATAAATCATGTCTCTATTTTATTTGGTAATTGTTTACAATAGAGGCATGCGCGTATATTGCATATAAGTATATTAATTAAGAGATAAACATTAACAAAACAATAATAATGAACTAAAAATAGGTAGAGATATTTAGGTTTTCACAAACATAAATTGATCCTACCCACAAGGAGACTGCATAGAATAAGTAAATGTTTTATGGGACAATGTATTCGTTTTTACAACAGAAGCGCAAAGAATGTTCAAAATGTATCAATAGCTAAATTTATAAAAATTGTAAAAGAATGTTTGTGTGTAGGTTATTATAATATTAATGATTATTTAAATTATAACACACTCCATTAATGAATTGATAGCTCCAGTCTCTTTCAATGTCAAAAAATGGATAAGAAAAAGTAGGCCAATGAGTTTCTTTTGCTGGCTCTTCTCAGGTCAGTGGCAGGTAGTATTATGACAATCAATAAATCAGTGTAATGCTCATATTTAAATCAAATTTGAGAAAAAATATTAATATTGCAATGCTAAGGTCATCATTTTGCATACAAAAATATTTGTCAATAATTTTAAGAGGGAACTCACTCATTTTTACTCTTTTGGAGAATAGAGTAATACTTAAAAATATCATTATTCAAAAAATTATGATAAATTCGGTTCAATATTTAAATATTTCAAATTAATAAGCTAGCGTTCATTACTTGTATATGTTATTTGTATGTAAGAAGCCTCTTTAAGCAGGGCTATGTCACTACTATACAGGATACTTTAAAACATTATTATTTATTAATTGAGATATTTATTTCAAACTGGTTATTAGATGTACATTCTTATTCAGGATACCAACAAATGGGTTAACATTACTTACAACAAGATCTCATTATTTTTTTCTTAAAATCTATATATCTCCGCTAATTTTTCTTGTTATTATTGTTTCAGTAATGTCTCTCTATTGATTAGAAATATTTGTATATGAATAATGTCCACACCTATTTTAAACAGTTGCCTTTTATTTTACCACATATTACTCAAACTGCTTTCTTCTCCATTTGTATTTTCATTAAGTACAAATTTTTCACAATGATTTTCAATTAACTTCAATGTTTACCATTTTAAGATCTATATACAGAAAACTTAAAGAAATCATTTATTCTTTAGTATCTTGATTAAACCTAAAAATAAATTTTATATTAATTAGAAGAGGTTGATGTACCTTCAATATAAAACCTTTCTTAATATATTACTTAACTGTAAAGTATATAAATTTTAAGATTGAAATAATAAATATATGGCATTCAGATTACAGGAACTATGGCAGACTTAAATAAATTAAAAGAAGAGTACACTCTTGTATCAGACAAAACTAATGCTCTCCACACAATGAGTGAACAGTTGTTAGCAGATCAAACAAAGCTCTCGAATATTGGTAAGTTTCCTTTGTATAAAATGTTGACAAATAAGCAGGTGGTTCACCTGATGGTAAATGATTACAGCTGCCGACATCTACAACTACTAGGGGGTTGTAGATGTGTTGCTAACCTTTAAAAATGTGGGCCCCTTTACCTCACTCACCAGACGAAATGCAAGAGTGTAATACTTCTAGATACTGGACTTACGTGAAACCATTGTACTACCTCAAAGGAGCATACCCATTTGTGCTACAGCAGACGCTGGGGATTGTCCAGCTATGTAAAAAAATACAAATTACCAATTTATATCTTACTTTTTTTACTTTCTTTATTTTGACTTTTTTATTTTTGCAACAATGTTTATTAATACTAAATAAACATTGTTGTAAAAATAAAAAAGGTAGTATTAATATTAAATGTAACTAAATACTAACTTAAAACTAATAAACCTAGTCCACACAGATGGTGCTAAAAAGGCTGGCTATATTTCCGCTTTGAATAATTATAGTTAATCTTTGAGCGAGAAAAGAATTTAAACTTATAAATGAAAAACTCTTCAAAAATTTCAATGTACGGTGACCCCCGGACCTAAAGTGTTAAGGGTAAATGGCAGAAATATTATAATCTGAAAGAAGAGACTCATATTTACCAATTATATCAAATAGAAGAAATACTAAGTTTTACATACTAAAATATATGCCATACCATAATACTATAGGTGCTTTAAAATTTATGTTACTTGGCACTTTTTTTAATAGTGCTAATTAAAAGTATGTCATTGAAAAGGTGGTCCAAATAGTATTTTGGGATAACATAGTTCAAAATTTTATTTTTTTAAAGTGCTAATCTCTGCACTTACGTTTAAACATTAAATTTAAAAAATTAAATCCTTTTTTCAACAAATTTTAACATAGTATAATCTCTGAATTTCAGGTGAGGATATAAAACAAAAACTGCACTATTTCACTCAAGTGGAACATTTATCGCAAAGACTCAACAGTCCCACAATGTCAGTCAACAGCGAGACATTCTTTAATGTATTGGCAAAGATTGATGAATGCCTGGACTATATGAGAAACCATGTAATAATTTTATTACTGCTTTTATTGTCAAGTAATATGACAAAAACTAATTAAATATTTTTAAATAACTAAATAAGCAAATGAAGCTTTTAATAAGACAGAAAATAATGAATCATAAATCATGATTTAATGATTTTTTTTTATATTAATTAAATGACTATGACATTAATATTTTACCTGAAGTTAAGAAAGGGCTATTTAAAAGAATTCCTTCATACCACTATTTTATTATTATTCAGAGCAACTTCAAGGAGGCACATACTTACTTAGTGAAATACAGACATCTACAAAATAGAGGAATATCGCTAATTCGCTCATACATTATCCAAGTCCTGAACCATGCCACGGAGCAAGTGTTGACTCCAGAAACCGACTCCAATGATCAAGAGTCAATGGACACTGCATATGCTGTCTATTTTGGCAAGTTTCAAGCAGCCGCCCCTAAATTAAGGATGGTTATAAGTGAGATTGAGAAAAGAGCAGAAACAAATGAAGAGTAAGTTTACATTTTAATTCAAAAAAAAGTCAGGTCATTATTGTTATGCTTGAGAGTGTGGATTAACTTGAATATTACTCATAAAAAAAATGAGTTGTTCAATATAGATTAGACACAGAATTAATGGAAAACACCATCCATAAAATCGCTTATGCAGGTAAAAGGGATGGAAATCTAAAATAAACTATGTCGTTTTTGCAGCACAAGACCTTTTTAAGACCAATTACCGGGTGTTATCATTATTTTGTATGCGAGAAGGTGGCAAGCGAAATGGCGGTTCATCTGATGCCGAGTGATTAGCGCCGCCCAAGGACATTTGCAACACCCGATTAATGAAGTGGGCTCCGCTTGACTCACTCACTGGACGGAATGCAGAAGTATAACACTTCCACTCGATGAAGGTCTTCTGTGAGGTCGTTGTGCCCCGGACCAACCTAGCGTTTCGTTCAACGAATCCCGTTGCGGAGACCACGGGAAAATATTGAAAGTTATCGCCGAGAACGAACAATGATCTATGTCGCACAACCGCGTCCGCTTGCCGTCGCAGGTACGCGTCGCTGCTGGCGGACGCGCAGCGCGAGTACGCAGGGCGCCGCAGCCGTGCGGCGGGCGGCGCGGCGGGCGCGGCGCTGCGTGCCGCCGGCCGCGACCACTGCGCCGCCCTCCGTGCGGCGTGTTCGCTGCTGGCGCTCGCGTGCCGCGACGAGTGCGCCCTCTACGCGCACTTCTTCAGCGGCCCCTCGCAGGCGCTCGAGTGAGTACTGTGACAAAGTCAAATATACTTTATTCAATATAGAAGCGTTCACTTACTTATTGATAGTCAAAAAACTCCACCACCGGTTCGGAAGGAAAGCCACTGGTCCGAGACGAACCGGCGTAAGAAACTCAGCGGGACATTTTTTTTTTACTTGGCAAAAAAATTACAAATATGTGTACAATTATTAAATTCCACTTGAAAGAGCCTGGAGCGATCAATTCGTTTCCCGAGTGTGTTATCATTCAGATAATCACTAATACTATAATAGCCATTAACACAAACAATTCCTCTACAAGTTTTTTGAATTTAGCAACGGATTCATTTTCAACGTTTTCTGGGATACATGGTGACTGGTGACATGCTTCTTTCTTTTTTTTTTTTCAACCGGCCAGAAACAATAGCTGCTCTTTTTTTTTTTTTAAAGATCAGATTACTCTATTTTACCTGTGATATATTGTTATGTGAGCTTTTAAAAAATCTTCTCTTCTCAACATGAACTGCCTTCCGAACCGGGTGGTAACTTACGGTCTTAGGTTTCAATTATTTATGTAAAATTGGACGAAAATTCTTATGAAATAACGCGCGTCAGAAGAAGCGTCTATTTGAATAAGGATATTTTGTATTTTTTTTGTGCAAAAAAGGATAGTCCGGAAAAATTATCAAAAGTTAGAATTGTCATAAAATAAAATCGACCATGTAAAACTTGTTATGACATGGTCCAAAAAAGTTTAAGAATAACATGTTGTCTAGAGCCACTCACAAAACTTCACCACTTTTTTTTTACCTATACCAACACTTAACAAATACTTGCAATGTATCTATTTTGAACCGACTTCAAAAAAGCAGAAGTTTCTATGTTCGAATGAATGTATTTTTTATCGCTTCTTTCATTAAAAGCCCCCTCATTCTCACGTACTTTTGTATCGTTTACTCAATGTTTAATTGTCCCCACAGCGAATATCTCCAATCCCTGTGCAACGGGTTGTACGAGACACTGCGACCGCAAATAATACACATCAATCATTTGGAAACCCTAGCGGAGCTGTGCGTCATCTTGCGTGTGGAGGTGATCGAGGAACAAGTGAATAATGACCGTAAGAAATTATTCATTGTCATCATAATTATGTAATAAATGATGTGGGTACAGTAGTCATATTCGATAGTTGGTTGTCAAGGATTAGTCTATTTCTGATATTTTACAATCCATATAAGTTAGTAAAACGGAAGCTGAAGTTCTAGTGTTAGTAGTAGTAAGCAGATACCAGCATTATGTTTTTTTTTTTTATGTGAGAAACTGCCAGGGCTGGTGGTTCACCTAATGTTAAGTGATGACCGCCACCCGCGGACATTTTCTCCACCCGTTGAGTTGCAGATGCGTTGCCACCTTTTAACAAAGTCGACCCCACCCACCACAATCACCAGAAGAAACGCAGATGTATAATGCTTTCACTTCACACCATCCTTCCGCGAGGCCGTGGCCCTTCGTGGCTTCCCCGGACGAACCTGCCCATTCGTGTAACAGCGAAGTGTCGCGCGGCCCTACCACATTTATTTTAAAATGGAATGTACAGCGGCCCTGCCGCAGTTGTTTTAAATTGGAATGTACAGCGGCCCTACCGCAGTTATTTAGAATTTTAATGTACAGCGGCCCTACTGCATTTGTTTTAAATTGGAATATATAGCGGAGCGGCCCTACCGCAGTTATTTTGGATTGGCATGTACAGCGGAGCGGCCCTACCGCGGTCAGTTTGAATTTGAATGTCCAGCGGCCCTACCGCAGGTATTTTGGCTTGCAATGTACAGCGGCGCTCAGGGCCCTGGGCGCGGCGGCCCGCGCGCTCCTGCAGGACGCGCAGGAGCGGCTCGTGTTCCGCGCGCACGTGCACCTGCGCCACGACGTGCTGCTCTACCGGCCGGCGCCCGGCGACCTCGCCTACCCCGACAAGCTGGAGATGATGGAGGTATCGCACGGTGCCGTACGCGTTGTACCACGTGCAATGCAATATGACCCGGCCGCACGAGAGTACGGAACGGGAACGGTTCGATAATGGCAGTTTTAAATTAATACTAATTTGTATATAGCTTTACTGTTTCGCCGTTATGTGGCACCCTTTGGCTAGGTTTTGATATCATGTTTAAAACGCTGTAATATAATAATATAATACATTTATACAATACTTCGGAAAATAAGTAAATATTTCACACCAACTTATCATAGACACACATCACACATCTTAAACATCGTAAACTGCTCCGATATTCATTGTGCACCAATGGGTGAAAAGCGTCGAACGCATCACTTTTTTCGAAACCTAAAATATCAGATCGGCCAATGCGGCGCTAGACGACCGCTGACAGCGAAACTCGCACTCCATCCAACTCTGACGCGTAAAGAACGCTCTGTTTCCAGCAAATAGCGCTCTCGATCCGAGAGCAGAGCCTGAAGCGCAGCGACTCACGCAGCTCGCCGGCGTCGGAGGGGGGTGGCGAGGCGCAGCGGCGGCCGCAGCCCTCGCCGGCCGACCTGCACGGCATGTGGTACCCCGGGGTGAGGAGGACCCTCGCGGCCCTCTCCAGGCTCTACCGCTGCCTCGAGCGGAGGGTGTTCCAGGGGCTCGCGCAGGAGGCGATCTCGCTGTGCGTGCGCAGCGTGGACAGCGCGGCCAAGCAGATAGCCGCCACCAGGTACACCAGCCGCAGCCCCGTAGCCCCAAACCCGTAGAATAGGTCTAAGGTATTCCCTGCCTTTTTTTTTATGGGAAAAGTTGCCAAGCCAGCGGGCGGTTCACCTGATGTTAAGTGGCCACCGCCGCCCACGGACATCAGCTAACGACGGTTGCAGATGCGTCGACAAACTTTTGAAAATTGGGCTCCGGCTACCCCACTCAACAGAGGAACGCGAAAGTATACTTCCACTTGAAGTCGGTCTTCTGTGAGGTCGTTGTACTGACCCGAACTAGCCTGCCCATTCGTGCAACAGCCGAGGCTGCTGCGACCACGCAGCAGTTACTGCCTGTAAATGCATGTTGCGTTCATAGACTAGAAATAGTGCGAAATGCTCTTACTAGTTTGTTTATGCATGATGGTGAGGGTATCGGGGAAAGGTTCATCGTTCTCCGAGGCGTGCTCAAGCGCAGTACCAGGGTACACCGGAGTGGGATATCTTTTACAGATTCCCTTGAAAACAAAAAAAAAACTTACACTAACTCAACCACCTCTAACCATACAAGATCAACCATTTATAACGTTTTAGAGAGTGACTTCTAAAAGTCACATTTTACTTGGTGAAGGTATTTCTAGAGCATATAGAAAATATGTAGAAAGTATCAACAAGTCAAATCTTGTAACAATTAAATTTATAATAATTGTAATCTTTTTTATCTTTATTTTATCTAATATTAAATATCTCGCTTATTTACAAAATGATGAATATTTGTATGCCATATGCATGACATTGTAAGCCAACTCCTTAATTACTCAGTTTAAAGACAAATAAAGATTATTATTATTATGGAGGGATATTTACTTTTTTCTCGTCTGATTGGGTTTATAAATAAATTTAAATATAGACATATAATGTATATGCACATATATACATATTACGTTATATGTACATATATCTATTATTATTATTAGGACCTGCATCGACGGCGAGCTGTTCCAGATCAAGCATCTGCTCATCCTGAGGGAACAGATCGCCCCGTTCCAAGTGGACTTCGTGATAAAGGAGACCACGCTTGACTTTAGCAACGTGAAGAACGCCGCCTACGGCTTAATACAGCGCCCCCGGCAGATATTCTCCCTGAACAGCAACAACGCACTGCTAGAGTTCCTGCTAGAAGGAACCCCCATGGTGAAGGAACATCTTCTGGACTCTAGGAAGGAGGTGGACAGGCAGCTCAAGAACTGCTGCGAGACTTTTATAAAGCATGCAACGGAAATATTGAGCGGTCCGTTGATAGAGTTTGTTGACAAGGTAACTCTTTGAGTTTTCTCATACTGAATATTGGATATTGAATATTAATTAAGTTATTGGCTAGTTATGGAAACTGGGAGATGTTATTAAATAATATTAAATTATTTATATTTCTATTTTTGGGAAATTTTTAAGTAATGTTAAGTTGTTATAATATGACACATCACATAATAAATTAACATGTCCTCACAACCTTTTTTAATACGCTTTTATTCGCTTGTATATATAACAAAATCTTTGGGCGTGGTTTTGACTTACTTGAAAATGTCAAATTGAAATTTAACACACTTACAGGATATATATTGATATATATATATTTTAAAGATGTACTACTGACAATACAAATTTAATATTTTTTATCTATTATACTCACCAGAATCTTCAGGATTAGCGGTTTTTTTTAAATAAAAAGCCGAATAGGTCATATGAAATTATCATCAGTTTAAGACAAGAAATTGAAAATTATTTGTTACTTTTTGATTCGGCTATTGATGTTCTAATATCCGAATCTAAATCGACCTTCACCGAGCTGATAATAGGATAAAATTCATTATGTAATAAATTTAGTATATTAGAAAATATATTAAAAACGGGTTATCTAAGAAAATCCTGGACAGAATATTTTAAATAATTTTTTAAAAAATGATTTTTCATGAACTGTTGCAACATCAAGATACTAAGAAAATAATTATCCTGACTTGCAATATAGGACATATAGAATGGGTTGGTTGGGTTTGTCTATTATTTACCTGGACGAATTACTGGGTTGCCAGGCGTAAACAGGTATGTCGGCATCAGTTACTTTCACTGATTGCATAATAGAAAAAAAATTATATTAACATAAGCGCTGTTTTATTGCGAATACGTTGATATAGGGGTTATCTGCGAAAAATTCGGTCCTAATAAAGGTTTCCGAATTTTAATGATTTAAATTTCAACGCTCCAGAATTCTAATAAAAGCTTCTGATATTGATGTTCTCATAATTTTACTCGGAAATATGCACAAACTGTCGGAGTCTGCAATTTTTCTAGCTACTTCAGCGACTAAGAAGCAATCGAACCATCTCGATTGCATTAACTGCATCGATGTGGCATTAAAGTTGGGACCCCAAATATGTAATTACCTGCTTATCATAATGAAGGAAAGGTTAGACCATTTAAAATATTTTCTAAAAATGAAATTATCAGCTTGGTGAAGGTCGATTTAGATTCGGATCTTCTACTATGACGATAAAAGCGTGTTTTTTTGTTTTTTAAACTTATATTTATTATCTTTGTGGACAGACTCAAATAAGTTATTAATATCAGTAAACATTGAGTCATCAAAACGCGACATACTAGACATTTCAAAAAAATTATAGAATTTTATATGTGATACAGACCTTTACTTACTTACCTTTACTTGAGTGTAACTTGTTGTAACTTTCTAGGCCCAAGCGTTTACACCAACAGAGCAGTTGAAATCCCAACCGTGGGCTACACCTGAAGAAATGGCCGTAGCAGTAAAAGAGGCGCAACGACGAATTAAAACACATCTTGCACCTCTCCAACGCTCTATGCAACTGTATTTAGCGAATAAAGAAACAGAGTTCATTTTATTCAGACCTATTAGGGTATGTATTACTCAAAATGTATAGTTGAAACGATGTATATCAGAATAGTCGTATAAATAGAAGAATGTTGATTATGAATGTGGTTGGAGGAAGTAGGACTAGAGCAGTCTAAGACAGGTTTTGATGGACAATGTCAAGAATTATTTATGGGCAGAAGAGGTGAGTACTGAGATGATGGCTGCCGGAGAAGTGAAGGGAGGGACTTATTGTGCCAACTTCATCTAGTGTGAGACGAGAGCAAAGGAAAGATGATAATATTGAAATTATTAATATTGAGTTTAATGAAATTACGTATACAACTCCTAGTGCCAATAATGGGTTTGATCCGTTGGTTCGCCCTAGGCATACATAAGATTGCCGCCCCCCCTACTCACTGTAAAGAACGAAAAATGAAATGAAATATAGGAATAAAAAAAGCAAAATGGTAGCTACTCCTCACAGCCGCTTATATAGATTATAATTTTTACGGAATATCGTCTACGCGAACGAGCGATAGGCATAAGATTGTGGTTCACGGTACATACGCTCATATAAGTAAGACTTTACTTGAAGTCGTTATTGGGACTGGTTATTATTTCTTGCTTAACTTCATAGTATGTTTTTCTACAAATGTTATAATATGACTTGCTACGGATGGTATATTCGACCTACCTCACACCTGGCTAATACCGAATATTCGCCGGGCTTCCTAGAGGAATAGCTATCCGAAATTTTATTTGGATGCGCGGAGTGTAAATGTATCAAAATCATTTTTTCTGATATAAATATAGTTTATTCAACTGACCCGATTGCAGTTGTGGGTAGTGAACCCGTATTTTGCGCCTGAGGTTGTGGGTTCGATCCCCACTATGGAAAAATACTGTGACGTTTTGACTGTGAAAATCTAATGTTTTTTCCAGTAACTGGCTTTAATGTATTCATAAATGCATTTATTTACAAAACGAAAAGTATGTTTAAGTGTGAAACACACTTATCTAGTACCCATAGTACAAGCGTTGCTTAGTTTGGGGACAAGAGAATTTTGTAAGAAAACGAAATTATAAAATATATAAATAAAATAAATGTACACAGTTATTAGAGTATATTTTGCACTTAATATATATCTATCAATTTTCTCTGCAGAATAATGTGGTTGGGTACTTTATGCAAGTTGAACAAATCCTTGCCAACACTGGATATTCATATGAAGATAGCCTAATTGTCGCCTGCCCTACACCAGAACAAGTATCTGTCTTCATATCCTCTGCCAGTCTTATCAGTCACAGTGATCCAGTATTGCCATATGGTAAAAAGAGAAAAACAAGCACAGTGCGCAAACCTAATGTTTCCAACGTTCAGGAAAATACAGAAGAAAAGACTAATAACTAGTAAACAAGTTTTGTAATGTGATAAAACTACAAATAAATTATTTCAACTGTTTTTTATTGTCATATATTTAGGCATGTATGAATGTATTTTAATTTATAAATAATAAAAGCATTAAAAAAAACAGTTTATTTACACCTTTTATTAACCTAAACTTCTATAATAAATACATTGACCAAACAACTTGTGTTTTAATACAATAAAACAACAGATTTGGGCTAGCTGTTTAATGTGTTAGATCTTAACTGATTTTATAGGACATGCTAAATGAAAACTGTTTCGAGTTTATGCTCTAAGCCAATACATTCCAGCGCGAATCCTGGTGTAATCTGGTAATGCTTCAGTAGGTCCAACTGCAGCAACAGCTGGGCAACGGTCATACAGATATTTGCTACAGACATCACGGACATTCTGTGTAGTGACTGCTTCAATACGAGCATCGAGTTCGTGAACTGGAATGCGACGGTTGTAGCAAAGCATTTGACGTCCAATATCTTCACACACAGGTGTGGTGCCATCCAGCTGAAGGAGCATATTGGTTTTGAGCAGATTCTTAGCTCTCTCAACTTCCCCTTCAGTAACTGACGTACAAAGCTTCATCCATTCCTTTTGAATGTTGTATAACATATCTTCCAGTTGTAAAGGTTCCCCTACAAAGTAAATACCCCACAGGCCAGTATCTTTGTAACATGTGTTAAATGATTGGAAACTGTGACAAAGATTTTCACATGATGCTGCACGAGCCAAATAAGAAGCATTATTGAGACCGCCGCCTTGTGAACGATCCCAAGCTCCAACAAGAGTATTGGCCACCATGAGAGGAATGTTGTCAGCTTCGGTCCAACCGGCTCCTTCCACAGCGATTGCTACATGTGCAAGTGGCATTGAGTCATCACGGACCCTGATTTCAGATCCAGTATATCTACATGGGGCTAATTCTGGAATATCTAAAGCAGTATTTTTCAATCCACTGAAATGCTTAGAGGCTAGATCTACAAGTCTTTCATGTTCAACTCCACCAGCACCAGAGAGAATTATACGGGTAGGTTGATAATGCGTCTTGATGTATTGTTGAAGATCAGCCTTAGAAATTTTCTTAATGTTCTTGGAAGGTCCAAGAATAGTCTGACCTAAAGGAGTACCTTGGAAGGCTGTGGCATGGAGATGATCAAACACAACTTCTTGTAAGTTGCTTTCTACATCTTGCATTTCGCGCAGGATAACGCCGCGCTCTCGTTCGATTTCGGGTTCAGCGAGTGAGGAGTTCTGGATGATATCAGCAAGAATTTCAACCGCAATTGGTACATCATTTGCCAGACATTTAGCATAGAACACAGTCTGTTCCCGGGAAGTATAGGCATTTAAGTGTGCTCCCATGTTCTCAACGAGCAGCTCTAAATCAGTCTGTGATCTTTTACTAGTACCTTTAAAGGCCATGTGTTCAAGGAAATGAGCTACACCATTATTCTTCGACGTTTCATACCTTGACCCTGCATCAATCCAGAGGCCTACAGTCGCCGTGGGGCTGCCAGAATCTTCAGAGGCGACACGGATTCCATTATCTAGGACTGTCAGCCTAGTCGGAGGTATGTTAACTAATGCCTGCTTATAACCAACGGCAGTGGCCAGTAATCGTACATTGTTACTCTGTTTTGAGAGTATCTTCAACGTGTTTCCTGCTTTCAGCATTTTTCTTGTAATTCTATTACTTACAACTAAAATTTTCTCGGAATACTCGCTGATTTACGTAATATAGGAGTAATGATCGAAGTAAAATGTCAAAGTCAATCAAACTTTTAGCAGGTCTAGAAACCAGGGTGACCATCTCAAAAATGGCGAATCTGCCCGACACGCAAAAAATCTGCCAATCTCATCTCCAAAAATATGCCATCATAGAGTACGGTATTTTCCCGATTTACATAGGAAAACTTACTAAAAAGAGCTTTTTTAAAGTTTGAAATATTAAGAAGTAACTGACAGGAAGTGACAAATTTTGTTTTTACTTGAAAATCTCCTTTGAAATAATATTTAGTAAAAATTGCAGGCGTTGATTTGGCTGTGACTAGTTTACAACGGCAAGCTTTGCAAAATGGAACATCAGGATCCTCCTTAGCTCTGGAAATCCAGGAAGGAAACAAGATCCACCCCCCCCCCCCCCCCCTCACCCCCAGATCAGTACGAACGCTCGTATTTTCTCTTCATCATGCACGGAAGACACAACTACAGTCATGAAACGTCAAAAGAGAATAAGGTATAGGATAATAGAAAATTTGAAAATACAACAAACATTGACATGAAACTCGATCGGTTCATTTAATAACAAAAAAAACTTATTGCTGATTTGTTACCGTTCATAACCATATGACGTACCTTCATTAAAATATAATAATCGGGAAATCCCTATACTAATTAATATGTAGTATGGAATGAAATTAGCCACATCAGAAAATTATAAGCAAATAATAATAAAAGTAAATAATAAGACATAGAATATTATTAGTATTCTAAATACAAATATTAATTTATAGAACAAATATATTTCAAAAATCATAAAGATTGCCTTGAAATCTGCCAAATTCTGACACGTTTTGAATCGTCAGCCTAATCTGCCACACCTAAAATTTTGGTGCAAAACTGCACAAATGGCAGAAATCTGCCACAAATGGTCACACTGCTAGAAACCATAAATTAGAACGAGGGTGCTGCCAGCCATAACAAACTACAAATATAATATAAACAATGTTTATAACACAGTACACAGCAGTAAATAGTAATTTTCGAATAGTTTAGATTATGATAAAGACTAAAAAAAATTAAAACTAGCAATTCAGCACTTCGTTTCTGTAAAAATTAATAATAGATTCAAAGTAATTAATAAAATGTTTATTTTTCAAATGAAACGAAAATTTATTAACTTTATACTCATAATAATTAATCTATTAGTAAAGTAATATTCCTTCTACAGAATTTTTACTTAACATTGATTTGGTCCATAATTTTAATTTTATTTGTTATTATTCACACGAAACTAGTTTGGCTAAAGCCAAATCTGTTTATGTCGCGCCTGTCAAGATTTAACACTTTTATTCAACTGTGAGTTGCATAGTTCAGCAGTGGACTCGAACAGGCTAAAATGATGATGATGGATGAGTTGACTATTACACACCCGAATCAGTTGATGGTAAACCTTTTGAGTTAGACAGGCTAAATTCTCACAGATGATGTGTTTCTGTTGCCGCAATAACAACAATATATAAAAAATAGAACAAAAAAAATATATAAGTGGAGCTTCCATACAAAAGAGATAATTTTTTTGCCCTTTTTATAAATAATGTACGAAACCCTTCGTGCGCGACTTCGACTCGCACTTGGCCGGTTTTATTTTGACAGGTGACGAAATGCGACAATTTGTCGGTCCAGTATCCACATACAAGGACTCCGTGGTGCAGTTGCCAAGGTGGTTTGGGCGTCGGGGGTCGTGGGTTCGATTCCCACATGGTACAACTATTTGTGTGACCCACAGATAGCTGTTTCGTATCTGGATGTTTGTACGCGTGAAATTTATGTTTGTAAACCGTCTCTTAAAACACAGGATAATGTTATCCTAAGGTAAGGGCAATAAAAAACGAAAGAAAGAAAAAAATGTTAGTGCTATGATGACACTGCACTGGTATCGTATTTACTTTCAAGCATACACCAGGTACAATGCGTTTATCGATCACCGTCAGGTCACCCATTTGCAGTTTGCAGCATACTTATAATATCCTCGTGGGCTAGGTTGCTTTTGACTAGCTAACGTTGTGTTGTTAATGTTATTGTTATTTAATAGCGAGTGCGTACAATTGTTCACTCGTTGTCTCATAATCATGAAAATTTTAACTAAACTAGCAATTCAGCACTAATGGTTTTCGTGGATTGATTATTTTCGTAAATAATTTAAATCGATTTTCTCAGGTAGGTTAAGTTCCATTATCGACCGTGTTCCAAAACAAACTTCAAACCTCCATTTCATTTCGGAAAAAACTAAAAAAAAACCGTTGCCAAAATAATAATTATGAAAAAAGGAGTTTAAGCATAGAGAAAAAAAAATCCACAAAATTTTATATTTTTATTTATTTAACAATAAAAAAATAAAGCAAGAAGTTGATATATTTTTTTAAATTATAATGATCCTTAAGAGTATAGTATGCTAAAAGCATGTTCTAAATGTACATGGAACAGAACTGTTAAATTAAGTATTACGTAAAACGAAACACATCTTTACGACGAATTACATGAAATCATGTGGAAATCATCTCGTCCGCACATTTTCTACTTTGTTGGTATATTACGAAAGCAATGATGTTTAGTAGTATTTGCTTTTTAGTTAATTTTGTCAATTGTTCACAAGTGATAGCCCAACGAGCTTAGGTGTCAATAAGGTCCTTGCAAAATGTTTTTACTGTGATTCAGCCTAATCAACATGACTACAATGAAGAATCCTAATTCGTCGTCTTCTAAGCTCGCCGTATTCAGCCACATCAAATATGAGCACCTGGTAGCTGGTATATCGGGTGGTGTCACCTCAACTCTTATTCTCCACCCTTTGGACCTTATCAAAATTAGATTTGCAGGTATGTACATTTTATTATTTAGTAGTTTTCTAATGATTCATTGTCATTCATATGAAACGACGGTATGTTTTATTTTATTTAAAACATAACGTCGTAAAATGTGTTTATAAGCTAAATTGAATTAAAATTCATTATGCGATATTTATTCCTACGTTAAAATAATTATATTTACCATGTGACCTTGAACTTGTTTAACTTAAGTGAAAGCGAAGCTGCATAATATACTTCCTGATGTAATGACAAACATAATATTATTGACTTAAACCAATGTTTTTGATAGTTGCATTCATGTAATATTCTTATACGCAACAATGTTATAATTTTATTTAATATTTATTTTTGGATGTGGTTTTTCCAATACAAAATTTTCCACAGCACTAATTACATCTCTAGACACCAAGAATGAGTAACTATTACAAATTAACTATTATGGGTTTTGGGATTCTGCCAATTGTGTGTTATGTATACAAACTTTCAACTTACTAATAATAAATCTTAAAGGGGTAAAATATAACTGTTCTTTTTACTTAAGTGCTTATAATCTATCATATTGCTTTATTGTGTAGTGATTACACTTTATTTTCATTTGAGTATTGTGATTGAGACTGTAAAAACAAACATGTTTTTACAAACAAAGACAAAAATTTACATCTTAATAATCTGAAGTAAGGTTGAAGGTTTTTGCAATTTTAAGTGTCATTCAAAGTAAAAATCATAAACCACTCATTTTTCATATTATGTATTTGATTTCAAATAAAATTGTATTATGTTTGAGGTATAAAAAAATGATAATAATTGTTCAATTATACACAATTCTTTGCTACTAAAACTTCATTATCAAAAAATTAACATAAGGTTATTAACAATCACTTTTTGATTCTTTTAAATTTCATTGTTACAGTAAATGATGGCAGGACCGCAACAGTACCACGATATGATGGACTAGGCAGTGCATTTGTTACTATAGTTAAAAAAGAAGGTGTACGGGGCTTATATCGGGGTGTCACACCTAACGTTTGGGGTTCAGGTTCTGCTTGGGGTTTCTATTTTCTGTTGTAAGTATTAACTTCATAAATTTAATATTCTTATAATGCTGACCAGTAGCAGATTAACTAATATATGTAATAATATTATTTACAATAGTAATATTATTTCCAAACGAATGATTGATTAGTATATCAAACAGATTTTATATTCTCTATGGTGTATGTTGATTGCCTTAAAATGTTTATGAAAAAATTTTCAGCTACAATGCAATTAAAACCTGGATACAAGGCGGGAATGCACGTACTCCTCTTGGACCTGGGTTGCATATGCTTGCTGCTGCGGAAGCAGGTGTGCTCTCCCTCATCATGACAAACCCAATCTGGGTGGTGAAGACTCGCCTCTGCCTACAGTACAGTGATGAACATGTAACTGAGAACAAGAGATACAAGGGCATGGTTGATGGACTAACCAAAATTTATAGGACGGAGGGTATTAGAGGGTTATACAGGGTGAGTCATAATTGTATATACAGCGTGTCGTTACCATCGCGACAATAAATGAACACACGTCAGACGCTACTTGCCAATAATCATAAAAAAATGTTAACGTTAAAAAATATCCATAATTAAAAAAAATATTTGTCAAACAAACTAATTAAGTCAAAATGAAACGAAATTTGTAACATCCTTTCGTTGTCGCGCGCGTCGCATTGCAAGCCTCTCCTTCTAACAGTATGTTTTGTCTCTTTTAAATTCATTCAATCCATTCATACGCTTTGTGTCCTTTACAAATGAACTTTGCGTTACAGTTTTATACGTAAGGATGTTCTAAAATTCTTTGTTTTGGAAAATTTGATAACTCTGTAAATATTGATGTTTAAAGAATGTAAATTTTTGGTACAATTTTAAAAAGTTATCCTCTATATGTGTGTTCATTTATTGTCGCCTTGGTAACGACACGCTGTATATTAACAAGTCCATATTTTTATTAACGAAAAACAAAACCAACTTCAAATATCTCACTCTGTATTCATTTAATAATTGATTTTCAGGAGTTCCCTAAATATCTCCAGAGCCTAAGATCCAATAGCAATCATTATGGTGTCACATGGGAAGCACCAGCTTTCAAATAAATAAGAATCATCAAAATAGTTTACTCAGTCAAAAGTTCTAGAGGTAACAAACAAAAAAAATACGGTTGAATTGAGAACAATCTCCTTTTTTAAAGTCGGTTGAAAATGCGATTTTAGGTCCTTAAAAGTTGCTTCAATTATGGGTCCTGCCTGTTAACAGTGTTTACCTACAAGGAGTTGCACCAAAGATTTGTCTTCGGTATCTTACATACATAAAATTAAATGGCATGTTAATGTTTTTACTTTCAAAATATTTTTTTTATTTTTATTACCTCAGGACTTTCATTTATGAATTGGATCTTGATTTCCAGAGATACGGCATGGAACTCCGCAAAATCAAATAGAAAATGTACACGAGAGACAATTGTTTGGTGTTAGAGGTATATAGATAATTACGGAAAATGTCCAAGAATTACTTACGACTTTTTACGACTTAACCTCATTATAGTAGCATTTGTAAATTATAGATTATTAAAAAGCATTTCGCAAGACAAAATTTGTTCCGTTATTTGTCTTTACAGAAATACAATTTTTATCTAAAGCTGTGATTATAGCCAATCTCTGTGTTTAAATATAACATTGATAAATGTTTTGATGAATTGACTAAAATGTGTTTGTGGTATCCTTGAGCCGTTATTATTACTTTTTTTATGTTACGGAATAAAAACGCGCATATTTTGCAATATTTTAACAAAAGACAAATTGCATGACATTATATATTCAAATCAAAGTATATGTGCAATGGATGCAAACAAGGCTTTCGTTAATTCTTAATAGATTATGATTGATTGGTTACAAAATTTTCCTCATGCCATATAAACTTGAAGTTTTATTTTAAATTGAAGATTAATTTTAGTGTCATAACTAAATTTTACCTCCATTTCTCCACAAAACTTACTGACCTTCATGTACTCGTTGCGCATTGATAACTAATGTAGTGAAACAAAATAAATATTGTTGTCAATTATCGTAAAAATTAACATCCAAGTGTATGTCGCGCCATACTAATTAAAATTGTTTTCATGATTACGATTTCGATTTTTTTATAATTAATGTTGCGGTTTTATCTCCAAACGGCACAAAAACTGCTCTTCACGATTGTTCATTTCGCGTATTGTTGTAGTTTGATTTCTTCATTTCATGTTTGTGAAACTCCATGCTGGAAGCGATTTTTTAAAAGTGGCACTGGCTGGCATTATAGTTTTTGAAGTTATACTTCTTTTGGTTCGAATAGGAAAAATTATGATTTTAAAATTTTGTCCGACAACAATCAGAGAGAATGTCCAAGTTATTTAATTAAATGATTATCAACTGCATTTAATGTCTTTCAAACAAACAAAGAGTAGATATGCAGGGGATAAATTATTACAAATTTTTCTTTTGTTATGCTTAAGAAAACTTCTTACGTAAATATATTTTTAATTTACAGGCGAATGAAATTATAAAAAAAAAGCCCACAAATGTCGAAACAATAGCAATTTGACATATTTGTGTTAATTTATCGATTTTGTTTTAAATTTTAAGAGATAAATTAATCTGGAATTTTAAAATCCAGATTAATTTTTGAGTCCACATTTACATACCCCGCGTCCGTCTTATAAATACTATTTAGGTAATTGTTTATCGTCATATATTCTTAATTCTAATAGTCATTTTTCATTTTTTGAATCATAAAAATATAATTTTAACAAAATCGAGGCTTTGTACGATTTTAGGCTTTGTGCGGATTCTTAAGAGATATATAAACTATATATATATATATAAAAACCTCTCGATAGCGAGCAGTTTATTATCATAATTATTGTAATGGATTCATTTCTAAAGTTTATACATTCGGTCTTCTTGGATCAAAGTTCAATTTTAGATAGTGTAAGTTCAACTATAACCGAGAGTAATATAAATTAAGCCAAGCTCCATTTCTATTGACCAGTCTCAATAAGCCGTTTGTGTAATGTACAAAGTTATTAGAATTTATTACAAAGAGGAAATGTTATGTGGCTAATTATTAATATAATTAGGGGTTGAGTACTTTATTATCGCTCGTAATATTCAATTACAGACAGAAATGTATAAAAAAGACTCTTTGATAAAAGATGGTAGACGACACTGGCATTTGTAATTCATTCGTTTTTATCGCAAATTTCGTTGATTGATTGTTCTTGAAAAATCTCTTTTCCTTAATATGATAACGTTGACTTTGAAAACTAAAAGGCGAATGTTAAAAAAATATTCCTTGGAAGGAATTTTTCTTATAACAAAATAATTATTTTTATTTTTTCTTAACATCGAGTAAATTTTACAGCAGTAGTGAGAAATAAGTGGAACTGTAAGAGGTATCATAAAACGAATGTTTGCTATTGAAATAATATAATGGGCGCAAGTATATTTCATTGTTTAGAAAACAATGAAATATACTTGCGCCTGCGTACGATGCGATACTGCCATGCATTATCCGAGATTGTCAGTGTTGAGGCTGTACCTGCCGCGGAGGCATGGCGGGAGGGACTTTTAGCGCCCTCACCATGCACAATTGCGTGGTGTGCAGCCTCCGCAACAACTTTCTGGCGAGATCGGATGAATCAATCTACACGCACCTCTTTAGTTGTGATAAAGGACTTATATATTTAGCCAACGAGCAATGGCAGGACCCGGGAGTACTTAGCGTTTCCGACCGGGAGACTGTATAGAAGCAGAAAGAGCTCCATGGGAGGTTCCACGAGGCTCTACACGAGTATCTATCGTAGATACTATTGGCTCCCTTAACTGGCTATGTTTCGGTGACCTGCTTGGGTAAACCGAAGGTTTTGTCTGTGCGGATCGGATATACAGATCGGAAAACATCCTTAGGGATGGCACCGTCGACATCTGTCGACCTTTTCGGCATCCCTGGGAGTCGCTACGGCATGTTATCTCCATGTTCCATGCTTTCTAACTCTGTGTTTCTGCGTAGACAAAACCTAATAGCCAGAAATCTACACCAAGAGCTCGCTCTGAAATACGGTCTTGTGGATCGTAAACTGTCGTACCATAATTACTATCCGGAGGCATCATCACGGATAGGACAATTTCCGCGAACAAACTGATATCGTGGTGATGGACCGAGCATAGTCGCGGGTTTTTTTCATGACAAAATATCTGGACCTGGCTCACGCGGTGACCGACATGATGGGTACACCACCCAAATTATTCGACAATTAGTCGACCAAAATTATTCCGATGCAGTTTCTGTCAATGGCTTAATCCCAGTTAGCCTCTCCAAACAACGGAGGCGACTGGGACCCCGGGACGGGCCCGCTCCAAGCTTAAATGCAGAAGAGATAACAAATAAATATTCCCCATAACAATCATTTATTTCAAGTTATTCAGACTTATATACATCTTTAAAATTACACTTTATCATATTAAAATTCACATAAATATAATTTCAATTACATTAAATAAATCGTTTTCAATTAATTTATAGGGTTTCGTTCCTGGCATGTTTGGCGTGTCTCATGGGGCGCTGCAGTTCATGACATACGAGGAGATGAAAAACAGATACAACCAATACAGGAATCTGCCCATTGACATTAAACTGGTATGTTGTAAAGAAATAATTTTATATCTCTCTTAACACATCAACGGCTGAGAAAATCCAATAAGTAATCCTTACTATATATTATGTTATATTATATATTATCCTTACTAATATTATAGAGGCGAAAGTTTGTATGTAGGGATGGATGTTTTTTACTCTTTTACACAAATATCACTGAATGGATTCTAATGAAACTTTACAATAATATAGCTTATACATCAGAATAAGACATAGGCTATAATTTATATACATATTTTATGTATATCTGTCTTTCTGTCTTAATGTTACACCTTCAGCCTATTCTACGCAGACATAGTCGCGGGCAGCAGTTAGTCCTTACTTCCTTACTAAGATTATAAAGGCGAAAGTTTGTATGTATGGATGGATGTTTGGTACTCTTTCACGCAAATAATACTAAAAGGATATTATTGAAACTTTACAATAATAAAGCTTATACAATATACACCAGAATAAGACATAGGCTATAATTTATATACATATTTTATGTATATCTTTCTTTCTGTCTGAATGTTACTAATGCCCGCGAATACGTCTGCCTATTCTACGCAGACGTATTCGCGGGCAACAGCTAGTTTAAAATAAAGTAATGTGGTTAATGAATTAAAAATGATACATAGGTTATCATGTTCCTAAAAACTATTTAATATCGAGAAGAAAATCTCAGACTGAACAATGGGTTTATAGTTGTCAAGCATTAAATATTCAATACACATTGGTTAATAAACTCCACATAGATTTAGTGTATGTAGTATGTAGAGTTTATTTATTGTATGGCATAATTAAAAAAAAAACAAAATTGTTTATGAAGTTGTATCGATTAATTAGGAATTTGTTTAATCTGATATGTTGTCATACGAAACATATCAAACGATCCAGGCTGCTAATGTAATTTTCTTTTGTAATTATCATGTCATCCTTAAACTATATGCTGAGAGTATGTTGTAAAATTGTCTTTATATATTCTACTACGGTTTTTCTTATTTCCCATCTTCTTTTGCTATTTTCATTATAATTTCCTAGTCACAACGGAATTTTTTATTTGATTGAAAAAAATTTAACCACGTAATATTTATGGTAAATTTTCATATTTGTTTGGTGTAACACACTGGACCGATTTTAATCAAATTTTACACACTGGTTTGATCTAACTTGCGAGATAGAACAGTTTATATCCAACTTGGGAGATAGAAAATATCGCGACTACAATTATCTCAATATATGAATGAATGAATATACTTTATTGCACACCAAAAATAAAACAATTTATAGTCGCGATATTTTTTTTATTTCAAATTATTTCTTTATTATATGACACAGATATATCTATTTGTGAGTTTCATGAGATTCTAACAGATGGCGTCGTGTGGTAAATTTATCGGCTGGATTGAGCAAGTATCTAATAGATGGCCGTTATGTTAAAAGGCCAAACGTGTGGAATCGATAGTTGATGCTGCAATCGGGATCTAGGTTTTTTTAAGACTGTTTGCTAGAAATACAATTGAAACCGGCTTTAACAGATTTGGCGCAGCCCGAGTTTCACGGGTCAGCTAGTTACCGTATAAATAATATACGTAATTAAAATTATACATGCAATTAATCAATTATAATGAAAGATTATACATTTAAGATAGCAGTTGTGTCAGGTTAAGATGAAAAGTGGAAATAATAAATATTCTTTATTATAGCAACCACTCATGAATAATTATGAAATGGGAATTTTATATAATTTAGATTAAATTAATCTATCTTATTGCCATTATTTAACCACCCATGATATCATCATTAAGATGATCATCACATCAATTTGTACTGTTTATATTATTGAACAAACTTTATTGATATATTTTATTAAGAGTAGATTCAGAAAGTTAATATAGATTCTATTTTGACTAAATCCGATTGTAGCATATACTGTTGAGATGCTTGTAAAAAATATTCTAAAAAGCGTCTAGCGAAAATTGTAGTTTTCTTTAATCGACCAATAACTAAATACAAAATCACATTTTAAAAATGAATGCGAAAAGTGCAAAAGTTATAAGTAAGTAATAGCAATGTTTAAAATCAAAACCTTGTAATAAAAATATTAGGACGTTTTACATAAATAAATTATACGTGAACAAATACGCGGATCCCAAACATTTATCTGTGGATCACACAAATAGTTGTCCCGTGGGAATCGAACCCATGACCCCCGGCCTCGAAGCCAAATGGGCCACATAGTCACATGTATATAAGAACCCCTAATTACTGTAAAAATAACTGTAATTACTGTAAAAATATTGAATAGAATATATGAGTAATTTTTCGTGTTTATGGCAATCTAGGTGTTCTGTAATGCAGCCGAGTGAAAGAAGTTAAAATATAAAATAAAAAAAATCTGTCGTGTATCTGATTGGGGTAGTGGATCACTATCCACTACCCATTCTTGTGCAGAGGGTATGGGTTCGCTCTCCACTATTAGAAAAATATTGTGAGATGAACATAGTGTTTTTCTAGTGTCTATTGATTATGATTTGTAATTATACCTAGATATGTATTTATTTAAAAAAGAAAAATACGTTAATAAGTATGTTTATAAGTTTTCTAGTACCCATAGTACAAGCTTTGGTCAGTTTGTTGGGACTAGGGAACGCTGTATAAAAATGTGGCTCCAAAATATCATTCTTTTTTTATTTGTGATTATCCTCGTTTTCCTCCCAAACACCGTTCCGGTCCGCTCGTTTGCAGACATCGATCGAGTACCTAACGTTCGCGGCCATCTCTAAGCTGATCGCCGCCGGCGCGACCTACCCCTACCAGGTGGTTCGCGCCCGCCTCCAGGACCAGCACCGCTCGTACCGCGGCGCCTGGCACTGCGTCACCGAGACCTGGAGGTACGAACGTATCAGGGGCTTCTACAAGGGCCTCACGCCGTATCTCCTACATGTAACGCCCAACATATGCCTAGTTATGCTCATATGGGAGAAATTCACCAATAACGATTGAACCACACCGACACCAATCTGATGGGAATAAGCGTACATACACCGCTATTTCGACGTTTCCGACTTTGACGCTTGTTGCATTATCATATTTTATCTGTGCCCTCTCGATTGACAGCTGTCCGCCGGCAGGTTACTTACAGTGTCGTTATTGTGTATGGCGTGTTATTTTAAGGTAAGATTAGTAATTTAAGCGGGATTTTTCTTTTATATATTATTTATTTTTCACGTATTATATTTTTTTTTATAATAAATGCATTTTTGTGATCGTCAACTTTTCCCTCTCTAATGTATAAATTAATATTTTGACAAAGCTGTTACTTGACCTAAAGATATATTGTTGTGTATATTAATAAATTGATTCGACATTTTTGTAGGATTTATTTATTGATGTAAACGTAGGTACGTGATTTTCGACAGGTTATTTTAGTTAAGTTTTTTTGTACGACGACATTTTGTCATTTTAATTGGACAAAAAAAATGATAAGAAAGTTGTAGATTGAAAAATAAATTAGCTGCAAAGTTTGTGATTGACTGTTTTTATTGTTATCTGTATTTATAACCTGTCTCACGACATATGTATGTTGTGTTACAATCATCTATAATGCCGCCATATTCGTAATCTCTGTTAAATAGTAGTGGTACCATTTCCCATCAGATCGTGACAGTACGCAAAATCGGGCAACACGAATATCTAATTTGCAGTGTAGCCATGTTTAGCACAATTTAGACATAATTTTAATTTTTGTGATAATAGTACTTAGACTATGATAAATTATTAATTCCTAATCTCCATGTGTAAAAGACACGATTTTTACTTGTATAACGTTACATGTGTGGTGAGACGACGTTAGGTTCTTTCAATAAGATGGACACATTTCAACTTGCTACTGTCTAAAAAGTTGTATCCAAATTGTTTAACATTTTAACATCTAATGGTTATCATATTACATAATTCTTGCAAGATGAAGGTTTCTGTCTTAGATGCTTAACATAGTTGTAGACCCACCTAAATATATTATAATTGTCAATTGGCTACAAAAATTATAAAGATGTACACCCTTCATGCACCTTAATTAGTTGCAAATATGCCAATCTTTTACATTATTAGAAATTATTAATTCAATGCAGTAGGTATAAGATTATGGTAAACTAAATCATTATATATAAGTATTTATTGAACACAAAGTAAATTCACACATATCAATATTGTGTTTTTGTTTCTAATTATATAATTTAATAGCAAACATGTATATATATATATATAATTTACTAATATATAATTTACTATTGTGAAATAAATTAAAATTTCAGTAAAATAAACGAATTTCTGAAATCTGAGACTTCATCCACTATTGAGATGTATTGATATGTGTGAGACAATGAAAAATTACACCAAAAAAGCATATAATGTTGATATCTGTAAGCAAATTGTTATAAGATTTCTTTGAAAATATACTCTTAAAACTTATAAATGGTCCAGAGAAAAATATAAGCGTTTTGCGATTCTCCCATAATCATAACTTTTTCTAAATTTTAAATTACAATTATTTTACACTTGTATAGTTAAAGTAAAATAACATAATATGTTTAATAAATGTCTAACAATTTGTCAAATATAAAAAGAATACATTAAATAATCTCAATCTCACTGGCATCAATAGCTAAAACAAAATCATAAACAGAACAAAGTATAAAAATCAATAATAAAATGAAAAAAACCCATAGTAAAATTTGTTTTCTTTATGGTAGTTATACATATTAATCAAATGTCTTCAGTGTAATTAAAAGAAATATGTTACATTTTTTAAAGGTGGAAAACTGATTCATATATTTCTTTTTTTAAAACTATTTAATTTTCACAATTATTATATTTTAGTGTGTTATTTATTATCTTTATAATGTGACAATGTTATTGCTCCAATTGTTGTATTGGTTTAACATATTATGGTTTTTGTGTTTTCTTTAAAATCTTGCTTTTCTAATTAAATAGCAGTCATGGCTAATTCGCATATGTTTTTCTTTGCACTGTCATGTTATATGTTGTTTAGTGGCTGGCCACAAATTAATTACCGAGACATATTATATTTTTATATAATGTATAAGGGTTTCAAACTGTTTCCAAATGCCTATTCAATTTGTATAATCAATAAAAGATAGCAAATTGAAAATGGGGATGTTGGTTTTATTTTCGTTAGAACAATAATTAAAGGTAACCCAATAGAAGATAGGATTGAACGTAAGTTACTGAAATCGCCATGATGTCAGTCGTTTATATGACTGTTTATGCCATCGTTTAAATTATTAATTGTAATTTAGCTCAATTACTAAATTTGGAGGATTTTTTATTCGCCTATAACTAAGGGGAACGGAAAATTCTCGAATATACGGTACGGTTTATTAAATTATCGTGCGACATGTCAGCATCGGTAAGTATATCCGTTGTTATATTACGCTGTGTGCGTTCGCGTATCGCTCTAAAGGCTAGACGCAATCATTTCCGCAGGCACGAGGGCTGGCGGGGCTTCTACAAGGGTCTCAAACCGAACCTGGTGCGTGTGGTACCCGCGACCATGATCACATTCCTGACATACGAGAATATCTCCCACTACATGTTGAGCAGGGGTCAGCAATTTAAACTGCCAACATAGGACAACCAAACTGCATAGGAGGCAACACTCGTGAATTCGCCAATACGACTAACTAGAAGTTATTAAAATAGTAATCTGTCTGTTTTAATACCAATTAGTTAGCTTAATTTATTTATTATTAAGTACTTTCGTTTAAAGTTTGAATTTTTAAGTTACCTTGTGCTGATTTCGCAGCATTTATTTTTGAGAAGGATAACTCTTATCACAGCGATTTAAACAGAACTAAGTTTTATTGTTACATGGATTGAGTTTTTGCATGCCACAAAACGCAAGCTCGATCTTTTTATAAGCTATGTAGATATAACGGTAGGTAATAATAATTAATATCGGTAGCGGAAATTTTTATCTTCGCATTTGTTATTTTACCTTCAACCACTCGGATCTATTTATTTGATTCTAATACAAATATTGTAAGTAAATTTAACTGCCATATATTATCGAATGTATATTTACTGATGAACATATGTATTATTTCTTTGAACAATTTAATTTTTTGTAAATACTTGCCCAACGGTTTTATATAGCATTTCATGTTATCTAGCATTGAAATTTTTTTTTTAAAATACTCGGTCCTTGTAAGTAGTTTGTAATACCATGTACCATTGACCATAGACGGGCTGATTTTTCCTATTAAAAGATATGATGATATTCTTATTTCATTGATAATTATCACTTTTACGCACACTCACATTTTTTTATTATAACCGGCAGCGTTCATTATTCATTGTGTATTACTTTAGTTTTTTTTATTTTAGTAAAATCAATGAAGTTCGTAAATAAACATTATCTATTATATATAAACATTACCAAAATTACCAAAATGGTGGTTACCCTTACCATTTTCAATAATTTTTGGGAAGACTAGTGGCATAAAGTTTAACACATTCTTCCAATTAATTGCAATTACTAACGCAATTCTTCAATTAATCGGAATTTTGTTAAATATTCTAATTCTTACTTAATAATATTAATAGATTACAGTACCTACTACTGTTTGATAAATAGATATTGCCCTGCCCTTTTTTTGGTAAGACAAATAATAAAATAAAAAAAAAATCAAATCAAAATTCAATCAATCAAATAATTTACTTTATACAATGATTTTTTTACGGTAATTTAAGATTTATACCATGAAAAAACTTTAAAATTATGAATCACCTTTCTAAAAGTTTTAACCGCTGAATTAAACATACTTTAATAATAACATGTAATGGGTAATGTTTTAGGCTGTGTGAACTAAGTTCCTTTTGAGTACAAATGTGGATATTAGTTGTATATTTTCTATTTGTGATTAACGCGTTAACTTTTTAAATCTGAATAAAAATTGTCATAGAACTATTGCAGTTTACCGATTCATTAACACTTTTAATAACAATAAATCTTAATGTAATATTAAATAAATTCACTTATAACACCTGCGTTTTATATCTGGTACAATTATGTGTAGTAGAAATTTTGAAAGAGTTTGCCATTAAATGAATGGAGCTGTTTTAATTATTAGTTGTTTAAAATAAACCAAAACTTACTTTAGATTTATCACAATGTATGCTTTACTCTTTTGTAATGTCAATAAAGTTATTAAGGAATGCAATCTGTATTTATTTTTAAAAAAATCTTCTACTGATTTGTTTCGGGGAAAAGCAAAAGTGTAAAACAAAAAAATTATTTGCACTATTTACGCAAAGAATATTTTTATAACAATTTTAATAGCCTTGGCGTACAGTACACTTTTTTGTTGATGAGAAGTTGAAACATTTTAACAAGTGGTTTACCTGATGGTAAGTAATTAGTTCCGCAAATGACCATGCGATACAAAAGTGAGTTTGCAAACACTTCACTTACTAGGAATGAAAATAATTCAAATTTTCGCAGAAATTTTTTTGACTAACTTAAAAAATGGAATAAAATCAAAATCTATTCTTATCGCAACAGCAGAAGTTGTGTGACTAACCATAGAATACTAATTACTTATTAATCACGAACTAGTAAAATAACTAGGAATTTTAATGGCCAAGTATTATTAAAATAAAAATAAAATGTGTATGAATGCAAGTTTCAGCAGCCAGTCTATCTTAAGCCGTTCAATTTCAAGGTATTAAAAGGCGTATTTTGTTAAAACATTACGAATGATTTAAACCATTTTTATGGATTATTTTTAATCGATCATCGCGATTATTTTTAATTACCGAATATTCGTTTTCAGCCAGTCCCGCCTGTGACCAAGAATGCGCAAAGCATTCGAAACGTCGGGAAATAAAAATAAAAGCTATACATCGCTAACACCGTTAATGTTTATTTTCATTAGTTTCCGACCGAACTTTTGGTTTCAGTTTCGGCTAATAAACTGATTTCGGTTTCGGCTGCAATGTAGCCGAAACTACAGCCAAAAACAAATCGTTTCGCGCTGCGACCACGCCAATATATTCGGTGTACTGAGCTGCCAGCGACGAAGTGTCATTTAGCCGCATCCTCATTGATATTCGTGAGTAGTCTAACAACAAGTAGTCAAACAGTGCAATAAATTATATTCTCTGGGAAGTTCTGTGTTTAAAAGGCAAACACTTCTTGATCTGCAAACTCAATTGATCTAAATCTCGAGCTACGCGTCGAAATTTTACGAAACAGAACATAGGAAATATTTAAAATGGCAGCCGGTAATCGATTAGTACAATTAAGAGGCTAAATTAAAAGCGATGCGGTTCACATAATTTACTTTCCGCGGTCTCAAGCACTGACAGTGGCCGTGGTAGCAAACTTTTTCAGACCATCATCCCTATAATGTCAAAGTGGTCAGATCGTCATACCGAATTAATATATATTGGACTTAATAAATTATTGTTGACAAGCTTTCATATTTTAGTATAAAGTGAGGCATTCGAACGACTTAAATAATTTTACAGAAACACATGTAATTTATTAATGAACAAAAGTACAATATTAAGCCAGAGTTATTAAGTATTTTATAACGACTTGCTATTGTATTGTGAAACTATTACCATTACTATATAGGCCCACAGCCATCTTGTTTATCTAAATTCTGGGTTATACCTACGATACATACATCTGTTTTTGAATTAATAAAAACTACTAGCGTGATAGTGATCGCTTATCATAGTGTAAGTAAATGATATAAGCCCATTTATCAGAGCCTAGGTTACAATGAAATACACATTATTTATTTAACTATTTATATTCTTAACGGAAAACATTTCTGTCTTTGCGAAAGGTTGAACTGCTATTCTTGCTTGTCGGCTCCACGGAAAAGTGTTTCCAGTGAACAATTATTTAGAAATACTGTTGCATTTTATTTCGGCGGAAGAAATAATTTGGTATATAGTATATATTATATTAATTCCTGTTTAATAAAATCGTGAATATTTTCAGATAACTACCAGAAATTCAAAATTTTTAAAAAAGTCTAAGATTTTTTTTTATCATTCGATTATATATTGCATCAAAATTATTTTATTGTTGTACTTAGTAGGTACATTAATTTTAATTAAAAATTTATGTACATAATTCATTAAGAGAGCCATAACAAAGCTTGTAAAATGAATAAAATCTTTTGTATAGGTAACAAAACGTATACCCAAGATTGAAAGTATTTTTGTTTTTTATGTTTCCTCTACAAGTCTATTTCAGACCAAATGATTAAATAAAAAAAAGTGTCAAACTTTTACGAAGTACGTTTTAACCTTATATATGTATATATTTTTTAATGTGAGAAGGTGGTAAGCGAGCTGGCGCTTCACCTGATTTTAAGTGATAACCGCCGCCTATTGACATCAGCAACACCCGTAGGGATGCAAATGTGCTGCCACCTTTTAATAAATAGGGCCCTGGTTACCTCACTCCCCAGACGAAAGCAGAAGTATATAACACTTCCACTTGATGCCGGTCTTCTGTGAGATCGTTCGTGCAATAGCGAAGACTGTTGCGGCACAGTTTCGGCTATAAAAACTACACAGCCTATACATGTCCCACTGCTGGGCAAAGGCCTCCTCTGTACAGAGGGTATCAGGGCATAGGGTATGAGCGTGGTTGCGGCCACACTGCGGTTTGGCGGATTTTACATATCTTCGAAATATTTTTTTATTGTGATAATTCGGCACTTAAAAACTTACTAAAACTACTAAACCTTACTAAACTTAAAATTAACTATTTCATTGATGCCGGCACCGGGGATCGAACTCAGGTTGCTCGAGTATATTGAATTAAAGGCGAGCGCCCGGACACTGCTATCACGGCTCAATATCACGTTTCAATATACGGAAATATATTAATTTCATAAATGTATTTTATCACGACATACCCGAGCATTCAGGCGAACCCGAACATATTGTTGGTAAAATACCATAACTGTGAAATACCAAAAAAAAAATTAATTTTTATCTTTTTTATTTGGCTCATTTTTACAGAACATAGTTGCTAAAACTTGTTATAATATAATAACTATATAATATATACAATATATCATCTATTATTTTATGCAGGTCATATAATATTTCGTTGGCACGAAAATAGAATTAACGAATTAGTATAAATATAAATATCATGTATCCATAGCAACATCTGCATAAATGCTAATTTCTCTGGAATTAATTGGTCTTATATTATGAAACGGAAGTGGTATCTTATACACTTTAGGAAAAATCAAATTCTATTAAGCCAATTATAATACTAATGATATCGTTGGAAAATCATGACTCAATTTTAGTTTCCCACGAAATATGATATAGAAGCAAAGACATTATTATTCATATTATTCAGGAGTGTTATATTTCAACAGCCGCTAATCTTAAGCGATTTGTAACTCAATACCTGGAATGTCCGAAACAATGTGTCCGAAACAATTCACAACTAACTGTAAATAGGTAACAGGTATCTTTAAATTATAATATTTAAAATAAAAAATATAATTCTTCAAATATCGCAATGCGACACTAAAATAATTCGTCTACTTCATTTTGTAGGCTATAAAATATAAAAAAATTCGA